ACTGCAGCGAAATGGCTGAGCGACTGGAGGCCAAGGGCGTGCCGGGCAACACGAGGGAAGCCCTCCAGGGATTCCTGGAAGCGCCGCTGCCCGAACAGCTGGCCGGCCTCACCTCCTGGTGCGCACTCCTTCCGGCGTGTGTTGTTGTGTCGTGTGTGTCGTGTCGTGTCGTGTCGTGTCGTGTCGTGTCGTGTCGTGTCGTTGGTCGTGTCGTTGGTCGTGTCGTTGGTCGTGTCGTTGGTCGTGTCGTTGGTCGTGTCGTTGGTCGTGTCGTTGGTCGTGTCGTTGGTCGTGTCGTTGGCCGTGCCGTGCCGTGCCGTGCCGTGTCGTGTCGTGTCGTGTCGTGTCATGTCGTGTCGTGTGTTGGCCACTTAAGGTGAGAGGTCGACCCACAGGATGCGCGATTTTGAGGCGTTGGACGACGAACCTTGGGCCACGCTGCAATCTCCTCTCGGAACGGGTACTCGCGTGTGCCATCAGCTTTGTTTCATTTTGCATTTCATAATTCCAATTAACTACTCATCTCATTATTATTATTAATTGGGCCAACTACTCTGCACTGTTCCCACATACAGCGTCGTTCGTGCCCCCCTGGATTCGTGGACTGGGCTCCCGTTTTCCCAAAGTGCATAAGGATTGCTTCCTACTCCTCCACGACATGGCCATCCTTCAAGGTTACATAGACACACGCACACGCATGGGCCCATAGTTGCATGGTTGCAGGATGTCAATGCGCATGGCGGGGCTCATTGTTGTCTTTCACAATGTGACCGTGTGCAACCGAGCAGGCACGCAATACTCTGCGACGCCGGTGGCGGCCAAGTGGGTCGCTGCCCTGCTCGACTATCCCTGGGTGACCAACACGAGCGACATCTTGCGGGTACTGGTCCACCCTTGCAGGCCTGCAACGCGCCGATGTCGTGTTTATCTCTCAATACACACGACACGACACGACACGACACGATCAACGACACGACACGACATGACCAACGACACGGCACAACGACACGACACAACGACACGACACAACGACACGACACAACGACACGACACAACGACACACGGTGGGCAGTTCCTTACAGTGGCGGGGCTGTGTACGCCCGAGATATATCTTCTGGCCGGATGTGGTGGCCGGTTCGACCAGCCACAGGAGCAAGCCGCCTACGACGAAATGGTACCAACGAATGCCGCCCACCCACTTTACACTTTTTCATCACCATCATCGTCTTCATCATCGATTCCATCCACTCCTTTGCAGAGCAAGCACACGGCCAAGTACATCAGATTGGCCCACGAGGGCGATGAAGAGACCCGATTGGCTGCCATCTTCCTGCTCGCCGTACCCACACTCTCCTGATGAGATGCCGGATTGGAGACATGGGCCTAACGACACACGACACGACGTGCAACACCCGACACACACGACACACAACGACACACGATACAACACGCACGACACAACACGCAGATGCTGCCGGGCCAGTGGCGCTCAACGCTGTCTTTGCTTGCGGACATCGCGTGCGACATCGCGCAGCCGCTTGCCGTCCGCGCCAGCGCCCTCTCAGCGCTCTCCTTCGTTGCGCCCGTGCACGATAGCAGCAGCGTCGACCCCACCTCTGCCGTCGGATCAGACAACGACACCGCCGGCGACAGCAAGCAAGAGAGGCTCGCTCAGACCCGCCGGGCCATCGCCGTTCTCTCCTCCTTCTTGCCGCCCCTCTCCGGTGCGTGTGCGTGTGCGTGTGCGTGTGCTCGGCGAGGTGGTGTGCGTGTGCGTGTGCGTGTGCGTGTGCGTGTGCGTGTGCGTGTGCCGGTGTGCGTGTGCGTGTGCGTGTGCCGGTGTGCGTGTGCGTGTGCGTGTGCCGGTGTGCGTGTGCGTGTGCGTGTGCCAA